AGGAGAAGGAGAAAGAGAGAGAGAGAGAGCGGGAGAGAGAGCGCAGAAAAATCCCCATGCCACTGCAAAAGGATGAAAATCAAAATGTCTTTATAATTTCTGTTTTATTGCAGGCTAAGTTCAACTGTGGATCTCCAAGCCTCCCACCCCAGCCCCATATGACTTGCTCAATTGCTTGCCTGTGAACAAGGAGGCTTCTTGATTCAGATGCCCTCTGAACCTGGCTCCCTGCTTCAAGCTTTGCTGGTGTCATGGCTAACTGTATGCCTTTTGCTCTGTCCCTAGGTCTGACCTCAGTTAACTCAAGGAGAGAAGGGCGCAGTGTAATTGGCCCATCACCTAGTTCTCTGCCTAACCCTCCTGATTCCCACTCCTATCCCTGCATGGTAAATCGAACAGCCCACTTTGTATCTTTTCTCTGTAGGCCATCTCCCTAGCGGACTGCCAGATGGTCTCTGGCCATGATGCTGGTCTCTGGCTCTCTGCCTTCCTTCCTTCCTTTATTGCTCTTCTCCCCAAACCATTGTGTTGAACTTGTAAGCTTGGTGGAGCCACAGGTCCCAGTGCATTCAACAGCTCCCAGCAGTGGGTGGTGGTGGTGGCTCCAGTGCAAGTTCCTTATGGTGAGCAGTGAGTAGCATGCAGGGTGTCCCATGGATATGAGACTTCCAGTATTTAGCGGAGGAAGGGAAATGAGAAAGTGTGTATTCCTAGGTCAGTCTGGTCTCTTGTCTCCCCAGGGTCTCCCCTCAGTGCTCAATACTGCATCTCTAATCAGGATCCTGTGCTTGTTTTCAGGTTCCCCAAGGGCCTGTGGGTGTTTTCTCACAAACTTCTCTGCAGCTTCCCATTTCTTTAATGCTGTGGTGTAAACATCTTGCTCATTGTGTTTTCATTGAGTTGGGAGCCTACTCTGGTGGTCTGGGTGCTGTTGAAGTGCTGGCTCCTCGTTATTTCTCTGGTGATAGATATTAGTACACCAGGTTATTGGGCTGGAGATATAGCTCAGCAGCACAGGTGCCTGCCCAGCAAGCACACAGTCCTGAGTTCAATGCCCAGTACCCCCCCCCAAAAAAGGATCTGAACACCATGTTATTGAGATTTAGAATTAATGTCAGGCCATTTTACATATAGTTAAAGAGCATTACAAAAGTAAAATTACATCTAAAGACAATCAGCCATTGCAGTTTAGTTAAAATATATTTTATGACTCCATTTGTGACAAGCCACAGAATGAATTATTTTAGCAAAAATACCCAATTGTTGTTTAAAGAAATAAAGAACATTTAAACGTATTTCATTTTTCTTCACCTACTTGCTCTCTCTTTAAAAGGTCTGTATTTCTAATATTTATTTTTAGGTTACTGAATTCTCTCCACCATTTATTGAAATGAAATTATCTTCATCTTTACTTTTAAACATTTTATTTGGAAATTATTTCAAGCTTATAGAGTGTTTGCATTTATAATACAAAGAAAACCTCCCCTCTCTTTACCTGAGTGTTAGAAATATTGTGTCCCATTTTCTTTTGTACTTTCTCCATTTGCAATTTGAAAATTATGTCATAAAGCTTTATTCTTAAATAGTTCATTGCATATTTACTTAGGATATTATTTGTATAATCATGGATAGTGTTACCCATCTCAATAAGAATGGCATTTTAATTTTTTTTATTAGTATACATTTTCAGTGTGTAAGTTCATTCATTGTAGAAAAATATAATTCTGGATAGCTATCTTTTTTATTTCACCTTTCCTGCTCCTTCCCCTCTGTCTTTGTCTATTATCTGTTTGTAGTTTGCTCTTGGAATTATTTATACTTTTTATTTCTCATGTAATAGAAGCCATGCAGTATTTAACCTGGTGTTTCTAACTTACTTCACTTAGCATTATAGTCTCAAGGTGCGTCCATTTTCCTATGAATGCCTCAAAGTTGTCATTAAACTTACTATCACTTAACTGCAGAGTGCACATATGATGTGACCAAAATGACAAAATGCAAATTTTCTATAACTTTGATACATATTTGCAAAAATATATATTCTCTCATTGTTTACAAGCTTCCATTTGTGTGTATTATATCTAATTTGTTTTGGTCTTTAAAACATATCTTTACTACTAATTGTATAATGCATTAGTTATGAAACAATGATGAAAACTGTCTCACTATAACAGTTGATTTCTGGTACACATCATCTTGTGAGACAGCTGAGCACTCTGAGCAAGGGAGCCAGCACTTTAACAGCACCCAGACCACCAGAGTAGGCTCCCAACTCAATGAAAACACAATGAGCAAGATGTTTACACCACAGCATTAAAGAAATGGGAAGCTGCAGAGAAGTTTGTGAGAAAACACCCACAGGCCCTTGGGGAACCTGAAAACAAGCACAGGATCCTGATTAGAGATGCAGTATTGAGCACTGAGGGGAGACCCTGGGGAGACAAGAGACCAGACTGACCTAGGAATACACACTTTCTCATTTCCCTTCCTCCGCTAAATACTGGAAGTCTCATATCCATGGGACACCCTGCATGCTACTCACTGCTCACCATAAGGAACTTGCACTGGAGCCACCACCACCACCCACTGCTGGGAGCTGTTGAATGCACTGGGACCTGTGGCTCCACCAAGCTTACAAGTTCAACACAATGGTTTGGGGAGAAGAGCAATAAAGGAAGGAAGGCAGAGAGCCAGAGACCAGCATCATGGCCAGAGACCATCTGGCAGTCCGCTAGGGAGATGGCCTACAGAGAAAAGATACAAAGTGGGCTGTTCGATTTACCATGCAGGGATAGGAGTGGGAATCAGGGGGGTTAGGCAGAGAACTAGGTGATGGGCCAATTACACTGCGCCCTTCTCTCCTTGAGTTAACTGAGGTCAGACCTAGGGACAGAGCAAAAGGCATACAGTTAGCCATGACACCAGCAAAGCTTGAAGCAGGGAGCCAGGTTCAGAGGGCATCTGAATCAAGAAGCCTCCTTGTTCACAGGCAAGCAATTGAGCAAGTCATATGGGGCTGGGGTGGGAGGCTTGGAGATCCACAGTTGAACTTAGCCTGCAATAAAACAGAAATTATAAAGACATTTTGATTTTCATCCTTTTGCAGTGGCATGGGGATTTTTCTGCGCTCTCTCTCCCGCTCTCTCTCTCTCTCTTTCTCCTTCTCCTCCTCCTCCTCCTTCTTCTTCTTCTCCTTCTTCTCCTTCTCCTTCTTCTCCTTCTTCTCCTTCTCCTCCTTCTCCTCCTCCTTCTCCTCCTCCTCCTCCTCCTCCTTGTTCCTGGATACAGAAGTCTATAGAATGAAATCATATAGAAACTATAAATAAATTTTAAATATAATACACCAATCCAAGGAAAGGTAAAGAAGAATGGAATAATAACTGATCACCTGTAATCAGCAATAATAGCAAAGAGTGTTTGATCTCTGTCCTTAGTTATCAGTATTGTTACAACATACATTCACTACATGTTCTATCAAAAAGGCAGAGATTACCTATGACTGGATAGAGACAAAGAAAAAATCCCCAGGCTTATCAATACACTGTTTGTCAGAGCCATAGTTAAAAAGTAAAGACAAATAGATTGAAAATAAAAAAAGGGGAAATATTAATTATACAGTGTTGTAAGTCATTCTCTGGTTGTATTTGTATAATGTCTTTAGCATAGCGTAGGTCAGATGCTTGTGGTTCTGTTTTTAGGCAAAATACCAGTATTCCTCAAGTAAAAGCAATAATGGTTAAGATGTAAATGTCCCTCTAAAATATATGTTTTAATTAGTAAAACAGACTATATTAACTATATTAATAGGACTTTATGTAAACACTAGGATTAAGTGGCATTACCCCTTTAATGAATATGTGAATAAAGGTTAATGTTAGCATATATACAACAAAGAAATATCAGTATGTAGACATAACTGTATATATGTGTATATATGTTAAAAACAGAAATATGTGCTTGTAATTTACCTCACTGAAATATGATTAAATGTTTTTTCTTCATTATTTTGTCTAACTTTTTTTAGTCTTTATTTTTATTAGTACACATACTTTCCTGTAATTATTTATTTCTTTATAAAAATTACTAAAGATTGCAAATTTTTTATGAATAAAACATAGAATATTTTGACTCTCCTTGAGAGACTTTATGCAAACTGTCAATGATAATAAACAAATCAGCTTTTTGAAATTGTTGTAAAGGCTTTGCTAAAACTGGTACCATATAAAAATGTCTCAAAGCCAAATGAATCTTTAGTGAGTCTTCCTATTTTTAAAGTACAGCATGTCTACCAGAAAACAAGCAATTTATAACACATATGATGATGTTATTAGAGATAACATTTAATAAACATCACCAACTGAATAATAAATTAGGTTATTTTAAAACAAGAATCTCTCACCAAGTGGATTTCAAGGTGGATTCAGAAATATCTGAAGCTAGAAATGATCCAGTAGATTATAGTGTGATACAACCCTTCTGTACATTATTGCTGGACTCCTACACTGATTTGGTAACCAATATATAAGTACTGGTGTTCTTAAATCAATGTAGAGGCAATAGAGGAGACAAAGTTTGAACAGAGTAAAATAGAAAGGATTTTCAAACATACAAATACTTGAATTTAAACACAAACTGAAAAATACAGTGAAATACAACAATAACACATACCAAGCCTTTATCCATAATGATTTGTATTTTCAGAGTCCTGGTCAAGACTGCACCAAGTGATTGTTTCTAGGAAACAAAGAATATGAATAAAAACATTTTCAGAATTCTAACATTATCATGTATTATATATTTATGAACCTCCCAGAGGTACAGAATTACAGTACTGAAGAGTTATGTACACAGATACATATACATAAATATAAAGATAATAAAAAGTAAAAGTATGGATGCATATTTGGTAAATAAGCAAAAGAGAACCCTTAGAAAAGTTTTTAAACAAATCAATTCATTTTTTTCCTTTTAATTTTCATGCTGGAGAATGAACCCAAGGTCTCTCATATATTCTACCAGTGAGCTATATTGTCAGCTCATTCCATATCGGTAACATTTGTTCTCCAAAAAGTTGATGAAACGACGGACAATTCTCTATTTCCTTCCTCTCAAAAACTTGCAGTGTACCTTGTAGGATACCATCCCTAACTTTTAAGTGGACTTCCATCAACTTTACCCTAAATGTGGTCTTTATTTTCTCACTGATTTGTACTTTCACTTCTTTATATTAACTTATTGTGTTCTACATTCAATTAAATTCTTTCATTTTGAATATATAGTTAAATAACTTGTGCTGAATATACATACTTGATGAATATACATACTTGTGTAACCATTACTATAATCCCATCACACTCTTCCAATAGCTCACATGGTTTGAGCAACCTGTGGTTTTCTTCCCCTCATTATCAGTAAGAATAACCAGGTATAGAATTCATATAAATGAAACTATATGGCACTTATTCTTTTATATCTGGCTACTTTCACTCAGCATTTTTTCATGTTATTGGGAGTATTCATAGGTCATTTGTGTTATTGCTAAATATTGTGTTATTTTACAGTTCATGATAACTTGTTCTACATTCACCTATAGATGTCAATTGGACTTTTATACGTGTTAGCACTTATAAACCAAGTTGCTCTGACTATTCAAGCACAGGTACTTACGCAATTATATGGTTTCACTGCTTTTGATAAATACTTAGAATACACAAGTCATATGGTAATTGCAGGTGTGTAAAAGAATATAAAGGGCAAAACTGCTTTGCAAAGTGGTTTGATTACTTGCATTCTGAACAAGAACTAATGAGTTCCCAATGTTCCACATTTTTATTTTTTATCTTATTCATTCCTATTGATCTATATTAAGAAATTTTAATTGTACTTTTCTGATGATTATGCTGAATATCCAGAAAGGAGGGTTGCTTATATTGAAAGTGTATTCCCTTCATTATTATTCTTTTTCCTATTGTGCTTAAAATCTTCAGTACAATGTTGAATGGAAGTTGCAATGGCAGGCATCGGTTCACAATCACAGGGATTTTCATAGTCAGTTTGGGCTCTTCTTAACAAATATGCATGGACTGGGTGCCTTAAACAATAAACATTTCTTTCTCAAAAGTCTGAATGCTAGAAGGTTCATGAAGGTCCTGGCAGATCTAAATTCTTCCTGGTTTGCAAACAGCTGTCTTCTTGAATCTTCACATGATAGAGAAGAGATATGAAGATACTGTCACTCTTACTCTTTTAATAGGGCATTAATCCCAGTATGAGAGACTCTTCATGAATTGATCTAATTACCTTCCAAAGACCGGATATTCTGGTAACATCCTATTTGGGGTTAGAGCTTTATAATAAATTTAAGTGCTACATACTCATGTAGCATAGCAGAGGCAAAATTTCAGTCATTTACATTCATTATGTTAGCTGTAAATTTTCCCAAACCCTCTCAATTAGATCAAGGAAGTTTTCGATTTCAACTTTTTAACATGGGTGAGTGTGGAAGTCTGCCAAATGGTTTTTCTGGAATATTAATAGGTTCTATAGCTTTCTACACATGTCTGTTAAATTATATAGTTCAATTCAACTTTGGGTGCCTTCATTTAAACAGATTGGTCACAAATTTTCAGATACTGTAGTCTCAAAATTCCTAAAAAATAGTATTTTATATAATAATGGCTTCTTCAAGGTGTTAAGATTGTTGATAATTTTACAAGCAAAGATCCACAGAAACTTGACTCATTCTGTTGAATTTCACTTTGGCAAAGGACAAAATCAGTCTGAATTCTTCTGTCTTTTTGAGTGCAATTCTTTGAGACCAAAATGCACATGATTGATTATTCATTATTTATAAAGTCCAAAAACTATTAGTTAAATATACCTCATTGTTGCCAGTTTTGATTATGGACTTCTTAGAAATTTTTAAAATTCAAATTACCTTTGTTTTATTAAAGTTTTATTCTTTAATAACTTGGAATATTTTCAGGGCTATTTTATTGTGATGACAATTTTCATTATCTTGAATTGCTATTATTAATCTTTTTTACTGCAGCAGTGCTCTTTAGAGAAATATAGTTGAGAAGATATGTACATAAACAGAAAAAGATTACAAGGAATTGTCCCAGATGTCATAGTTTGGATCTCAAATGTCCCCTAAAAGCTCAAGTGTTGAAAGTTTTGTCCCCAGTTGTTGGTACTATTGGGAGATAGTGAAAACTTTAATGGATGTGGCCTAATTAGAAAACTAGGTCACTGAAAGCAAGCTTTTTTGTCTCTGCCCTCTGTCCTTTCTCTTTCTTTTTCTCTTATCTCTTTCTCTTATCCTTTCTCTTTCCCTGTCTCCTCTTGGCAATCACGAGTTAAGCAGCTTTGCTCCATCAAGCTTTGCTCCTGCCACTATGATGTCCTGCCTCAGCACAGACCCAGCATCAGTGGAGCTAGTGACCATGGACTGAAAGCTCTTAAACTGAGCAAAAACAAGTCTTTCCTCCTTTCAGTAGATTATCTTCGGTATTTTGTCACAGTGACAGAAAGCTGACTAACCAACTAGGTAATTGTGGTGGCTGGCTTTTCCAAATCCTGTAGAATTAGCCAGAACAATGAACAGCTGAGGCGTGTGAGCTGCCACTCTGGACACACACACACTCACACACACATACACACACACACACACACACACACACACACAGGTGTGTGCACATGAAACTGATGCTGTATCTTCAGTTTGAGTTTAAAGGCCACGTTCTGAAAGATTTGTATTTGGGCTAAAGCGCAGTCTTTTTATTCTACTGAGGATTCCAATGATTGGATAAGATCTGTATTATGCAAGACAGGTTGATTCAGTGTTCACCAAGGCTAATCTCATTTAAGACAACTTTACGAGCACACTAAGTCTAACACTTGATTGTCAGAACCCAGTGGCCCAGGGAAACTAAGGCATAAAATCACTATCACATATTCTTAGGTTTTCTTTGCCATCATCTTTATATCCATTGCTGTTACGTTTTGTATCTGGATGTCCCCACAAAGCCTCATGTGGCCATGGGGGAGGGAACTTTTCAGAGATGGCTGAATCTAGAGTTCTGATTGGTTCACTGTCTAGTGCTGAAATTGGCAATGTGAGTGCAACACTTCACCTAGGGTGGTAGCCTGCATACAATATAAGGGAGGGAAAGAGGCTTGTTTCCCCCTTTGCAGGAGCAAAGGTTTTGGTATCTTCTGTTGCCATGAATGGTTGTCCCTGTGTCACATCAATCTGCCTTGGAGCCAACAGCTTATGGACTGAAACTTCCACAAACTATAAGCCAAATAAATGTTTCCCCTTATAACTTTGGGGGTCAAGTATTTTGTCTCAGCAATGACAAAAAGAAACTATTACAATTGCTTTGTCCATTTCACGTTTTCTTGACCATGACATTAACATTACAGATTATTTATTTTGAATAATAAGAATTATATATATTTATAAGGTACACTACACTATTTATATATGTATATACTATGGAATAATTAAATCAAGGTAATCAGCATATATCTATCATCTCATACACATTATTTTCTGTGGTGTGAACATACAAATACTATAGGAGTAGATTTTAAGTGTTTATACCACAGAAAATGATAAATTCTACTTTCATATCACTTTAGAAAATGTAAATTTACTGTTATGAATTATCATCACATTATCACGGAATAGCTCTACAAAACCTATTCCACCCATGTAACTGATAATTCCACCCTTGAATTTGATGACTTATATCTCCCTACTCACTCACCCACAAGTGTGTGTTAACCATCATTCCACGCCCTAATATTATGAAGTCTGACTTCCTAAATATTTCATGTCTTGGTCTGTTTTTTGTTATTATAACAAAACACTTGAAGGTGTGTATTTGCAAACAGATGATGAAGATGTTTGTTTAGCTCAGAGTCTTCAGACTTAATAGGATGGTGCCAAGCATCTGTTCAGGAGTCCTGATGAAGGACTCCTTTCCACAATACAGCATGACAGAGAGTATCATGGTGGCAGGACATGTGAGGGGAGACATCACATGTCAAGACAGGAGAGACTCAGGAGAAAGACTTGTCCTTTTCGTATAACATGCTGTACTTGCAGGACTAAATTATTCCCTCAAGAACCCCACTAAACTCTTTTGAAGATACATACCCTGTTTACCTCACTAGGTACCACTCCTCAAAGGTCTCACCTCCTAACATCACTACACTGAGGACCAAGCTGCCAGCACATGAACTTATGTGGGACTCTTACAGCTTGTACCTAGATGGTCCCCCAAAGTCTCACTCCCTCATAGGTGGCATTTATGGGAGATGGTTGGATCATGGGTGTATGATACTGGATTATGGATGTGATAACTGGATTATGGGTATGATAACTGGGTGAGTCCACTGATTGGCTTAGCATAGTTCTCTGGGTGTGAATAATAGGAAGGTCTAGACCTGGTAGTTAGTGCAAAGGCTTGTACTCTGAATGGAATAATAAAGGAAAGGAAAGCTCACTGCTGACTGCTTCCTGTCCGCCATCCTGTGAACCTGTTTCACTTCTGCAATGCTCCTCTGCCATGCAGCTCTGCCCGAGAGCCAGCCAACTGTAGGCTGAAGTGTCTATACACTGTGAGCTAAAGTAAACCATCCTTTCTTTAACTTGTGGGTACTGGATATTTTGTTCCAGAAATGAGGAAGTAACCAAGACAGTGACACTCTTGAATCATATTTTA